GATATAGATATAGATATAGATATAGATATAGATATAGATATAGATATAGATATAGATATAGATATAGATATAGATATAGATATAGATATAGATATATAGATAGATATATGTACATGACCCAACCCAACAACCATTTCCATTGTGTGGTTCTTCCTTGCTCTTATAATTACTTGCTCTTATATCAGTTGTCCTTGTACCTCATCTCTCTCTGATCCCTTCATTAATATAGTGTAGCTAGCCTTCATTCAACCCTCGTTCCCGGGGTCCCTGATCTTCCCCTACCGGAAGGGTGAGAAAATGAGAGACCCCGGGAACGGGGTTGATCTTCACTGGCCAGTAAACTCTCATGATTTGCCGCCGAAGTGTGCCCCCAATTTTAAAGTTTCACGTGAATTAACTGTTCTTTAACAACTTTACTCAAGTACACGGTAGTTCGCTGATTTAATTAAAAGTCAGTTGAGGTTCCCTTCAATTTTTACTAGGCTGGTATTGGGTCACGTGGTAACCCAGGGCAAGTGATGATTGTGACTGAAGCTGAAGCCGCCGCTCATTTCTGTTTAAAGACGGAGATCAGAAAAGACATTCCGTCTGAGACCAGGCCTGAAATGCACGACAAAGCTAACACACCATTCTTACTCGCTGACATAGGAGGTAGTTATTCCAAATTGACACTGAATAACTTAATGAAGATTCCAGTAAACTTCCACTTAAAATCCCATTTAAATCTCGTGTGTACTTGAATGGAAAGGGGTTGGGTTGGTTCCTACCCAGTTTTATAGGGTTTAATTCTTTCTCGCTCATTAGCTTACAGCGCTTACATTTAATCTTCCTTTCATTGTTAGAATAATTAGGACTGTGATCAATTAATTCTTAACTAGGGCTAGTGTGGAGGTAGCGTGGCTGAGTGGTAAGGGCGTCTGACTAGAAATTTTGAGATCGATGTCTCAAGTCCCGTTCTAACCATTAGCTGATGTTCTCGCGTCCCGCTTTCAACTCCTCGTTTAGGCTTGTAAACAGCCAACTGGTCTGTCTCCTACCAGTTGGGGTTTATAGCCATGTTATGTTCCTTTATATCGTTAGTTATTTTGGCCACGTAAAAAATTACCTTGAAGGAAACCTGAAAATAGTAGTTTACTAAGATATAAAAACACCACAGAGTTAAAAAAATAAACCATAAAGGATCAAGCATTTTTAAGGATGGAGAAGATTAACACCCACTACAAACAATGAACATGAAAGATTTAGGCCAGGTTTTTCAAGATGCGAAACTGTGACGTAGCTCCTTCAATGGTCATTGAGGTTGTAATTGCCTAAGGAGGCTTTTTTATCTTTACTAGGAGGTAGGTTGGACGTGACCATTTATCAGCAGCATGGTGACGATTCCATTGAAGAGATCTACAAGGAAACAAGCGTTGCGTATGGCGCAGACCTGAATCGTATTACCAGCCAGTTTGAGGATGTCTTAGACGAGCTGTTTGGTGCACAGATGCTGAACGATTATCGCAAACTATTTCCGTCTGATTGGCTTAAGATACTGCAGGAGTTCGAAGCGAAGAAACACGACTTTCCAAATGGAGAGACAAAAATTTGTTTGCCTGGAAGTTTTGTTGCCTCGGTAAATGATTTTCGCTCTCCACCCATGAAGAAATACGCGGAAGGAGAAGTGAAAATTGTCGACGATGAGTATCTTTGTTTGAGTCCTAGTGTTATGCTGTGGCTTCTCCAGCCTTTCATAGAATCCGTCAAGCATAACTTAAGGGCCTTACTCAGCAAACCAAAGCTCTCCAAAGTCAAAACGATTCTTCTGTTTGGAGGCTGTGCGAATTCCCTCCTTCAAGAAGAGGTCAGAAATGAGTTTGCCCGTAAATACTGTGTCACTGTTCCTCGTGATGCCACCGACGTGGTTGTTAAAGGGGCAGTGATGGTTGCCCTAACGACAGCTGCTACGAAGAGGAGAGTCGTAGGAATCAGCTATGGCGCTGATTGTACGCGGAATTTCGTACGAGGTAAACACCCAGAAGAAAAGAAGTTCTTGGTTAATGGCAAGGAGAAGTGCAGAGATTTGTTTAATTGTTTTGTGAAGGAGACGGACACCGTCAAACACGGACAGAACATTTCTGTCACATACCGTCCACGCGAGGCAAATGAAACTGTAATTAGATATACTTTTTACGCCGCTCCCACGTCTGACATCGTGTTTGTCACGGACCCCGGGGTAACTGAGATTGGAAGTGTCTTGGTTCACTCTCCTGACACGAGACAAGGATTAGACAGAGATATTTTAGTTAGCTTGTATTTTGGAGGAACGGAAATGATCGCGACGGCTTGGGATGTTACAAGTGGAAACAGGGCTCAAACAACATTGGATGTTTCTAGTTTGTCCCGCTCAATTTCAGTGCCACGTCTCTAACCAAGGCCGCCCGACAAAGTTTTCTTCAAATTTAACGAATAAAAATCGTGGAGGTTAACAATAGTTTTCCAACGAATCATCTATGTCGGTAATCAAGCTGCACATTACAAAGGCAACAGATTTGAGGCCATTTTGAATAGTAACTATTTTAAAGCTTTTAAAATGCCAGCAGTCAATTTGCAAAGAATTTGTTTAAGTGGCCTTGGTCGGAGTAATCGCATGGTGAAACTGTGATTTAGTAGCTGAGTTTTTAACCATAGCTAGAACCCGGCGATATAAGACGGGTTCAGAACAGTAGAGTCAGCTCTTGGGGTGGGACACGCTTGCGTAGCGTACGCACCTTCATCAGTTGCATACCTTAAATAAAATCAAGTATCGCATGGTTGGGATAAAATTTCCACTTGACGTTCAACCTTTAAGTTGTTCCGACAGACGAAGCTTCCAAATCCCGTTCCTTAAAGCCACGTACCGTGCGCTGTTGAGAGTTTTAAATTTTCTTTTTATCCAAGGGTTATTAATTCCTATATCGTATAACCTTAACTTTTTAGTCGATCAGCAAATTTTAATGATGTAGCTGCCGTGAACACTATAAAGTTATTCTTTTAATGTGTACTTTGTCTTTCAAATTATTGTATAAATTTGGATATATTTAATATTCAATTATATATAGTTATAATTCTCCTAGTATAGTTTTAGTTTTACACTGTTTTAGGAGTAAAGTTGTTAAAGATTAAAGATAAAGATTAGCCACAATTGCTTTACTAACTACTTATTGACCGAGAGTGAGGTCTTTTAATACGGAAAGATCTCAAACCGAGCGATAGCGAGATCAATACGGAAAGCCCTAGGTCTGAGAATTTTCCGTGAAGACAGAAAGTTCGCGGTTGAAAGGTAGTTTAATATATGGCTTTTTGTTTGGTTTTTACGGGGCTGTAAGAGAATGATGTCTTAGTACAAGCTAGCCAATCAGAGCGCGCGTCATATCCGCTACAAACACAAGTCGTATAATGAATAAACAATACCCTCCATTTGGCCGGAAAATATGTTCGCATATTTGTCCGCGGACGTTGTCTGTTAGCCAAAGAGTGCTTTACTGTTTGGACAGTTTTTTTTTTGTTTTTTTTGTTTTTTTGTTTTTTTGTTTTTTTTCAATAAGACCTGTCTGCGCAATGAGACGTTTTCGTGAATGCAAAACAGTAACGGGAAGCAAAATGGGATAATATTGCAAAGGTAGTTAAGAAAGTTTTAATATTTACCTTGGACTTGTTCTGTTAGTGAGCCTGAGATACTTCAGTGTTCGCCCTCCCCCCTCCCACCTCCCCCATCATTTCTCTTCGACCAAAAAACCAATTAACGTGACATATCTTTAGCTTCAGTTTTCTTTCTTTATCATTTGAGTTTTGCTCCGTTATTTCTAATTACCGCTATTTTCCACTGCGATAGCAATTACCTTGAATTTTGGCAGTTGCAACGGCTATAGAACTAACGATCTGGGTGTGATTCTCCCAGTGCTTATCACTTCCTTGATAATTTTTAAACGTGTCATCAGCAGTGGTATTGCACATGATTTAAAGATAAATGGATAAAATCAATAAATCTCTTTCGAATCAAGTCTAGATAACACAGCGAGCTCGAGATTTTATGGCAACTTTCAAAACGGAAAGAAATTCGACTTAAAATGCAAAGCGCATGCACATTTATAAAACCCAGCGACCAACGGAAAATTCCGGCCCGTTATAAACCACCAGGGCAGCTTTCTCATTGTAATGTACTTTCCTATATTTATGTTTTTATTTTTGTATATTACCTATTATTTTGTAATCTACGCGAGGTAATAGCTTCAGGGCTCCTATTGATAGCTGTGAGAGACTTTGTAAGCTCCCTAAAAGGGATCGGACTACCCTGAAATTTCTTATCTTTAAATTTTTTACTTTAAATAAAGGTGTCTACCTATCTTATCAACTTTATCAGTTTACAAAGTTTGCAAGGCTGTTTGCATTGACAAATGTACATCCATACGTCTTATTGTAAATATTGCTCATTGCCACAGGAGAAATATTTTCCTTTTAAGTTTGACTGAAGAGATTATTTCTTGGTTTTAATTAGTTTTAATTGCTCCGAATGTAGAATTACATTCCCCCCTAAGAAGTCAAGGAAATTATTTGCTTGCAAATAGGCAGAAAAAAAAAACAATGTGAGTGGTATTACAGTGTGTTTATTCAACAGCAATTAATCGTGTTGGTCAGTAAACAAATGAACTACATAGCCTTTTTATTTTTGTGAAACTTTACTGACTTTTCATTTGACGATCTTACTTCAATTCTGACATGTAAACCAAAAAACACTTCGCTCATCATGTTAATGTTTCATTATTAGACATACATTAAAAGAAGGAGTGAAACTGGCTTTCAATGGTCTTAAAATTAAATCTTTGAGTGACGACATGGAGCAGGTGGAATTAAAATTCATTTGCGATTAAAATCAGTTGTGACGAAAAATACATTCGTTCGACGCTGCGCTGTAGAAACTCGAGCACCGAAAAGTTCAAGCAAAGCAGATCATGTCATTGAAAAATAACACCACAATCCCTTTAATTGGGAACGAAACTGCATTGAGCCAACATAGCTCGACTTGTGTCTTTGTTGATTCGCCTGCTGAGAGAATTTCACAACTTTGTGCGTATTGGTTTATTTTACTGGGCAGTTTCTTTTGGAACTTCCTCATAGTCATTATCGTCTACAAGAATCGTGATTTACGAAAAAATATCAACTATTTCATCGTAAATATGGCCGTGTCCGATCTGCTTTTCTCGCTGGTTGTAATTCCTGTGTATATAACTGCATTGGTGACCAACTCAGGGCATTGGCACGTCAGTGGAACCTTAGGATCAATGTTTTGCAAGTTGTTTTATTTCGGTGGCTCGGCGTCCCTTCTTGTTTCTGTTCAAAGCTGGGTGTGGATAGCAATTGATAGATTTGTCGCCGTGGTTTTTCCAATAAAAATTTGGCTTATTTCAAGCAAAATTCGCACAACAGCCATCGTTTCTACCTGGGTTTTAGCTGGTATTTTCTCTTTTCCGTGGCTTGTGATCCACGGACTGGATGAACATGGGAATAGCGTATTTTGTCGTGTAGTAAACGAACAATCGATTTTTTTCTAGCAAGGAAGCTAGTGAAGGATATTTCTGGCTTCATGTCACCATCAGGTTTTTGGCTCCGTTGCTTTTAATAACAGTTTTATACACTGCAATAATGGTCGCCTTAAAAAGGCGAAATAAGGCCTTTATGCATGCCGCACATAAAAGACAACATCACGGTTCAAAGAAGCGAAGACAAGCTACTCAAATGGCTGTGGTTACCTTTTTGAGAACATTTTCCCTTATTGCGGTTTTTATGTTTTTGTTATCTTCTGTTATTAATCCAATAATTTGTTTGTCATTTGTCAATAGTTACCGCCGTGGATTAAGAAACATTGTGTGTTGTTTTTGCAGAATTCGGAATAGTAGTATGGCAAAACGTGAACGGATAACTCTAAAAGAAATCAAAACTTTCCCTGCTGAAAACTGTCAATGGACTGCCAAGAACACAGACAAGTGCTAAGAACGTTTTACACTGTTTAGTACATTATATTAATAATCAATAATTAATAATCATAGGCCGCCTTCCATAAGGTCCTTAAACTGAATATGGAACCATGGTTCCTGGAGGAAGTGAAAATGAACTAAAATTGTCATCCGAAGATTATTGAAAATTTAAGTGTGCCCGTTTTAAGAGGAATCTATTTATTTTCAAGTTCCCCGGATATGTTTAAATTGTTTTGTTTTTTTTTTTTGTTTTTTTCATTTCCTTACTTACTCCATTTACTGCTAAGCCGATGAACAAGCAAACATCCCACAATACTCTGTAATTAAAGTGAGAGTTTTGTTGAAATGAAATGAAGTTGAAATGAGTTCAGATGATTATTACCTAGTCCACTGAGAAACAATATTGAGCATTTTATTCGTCAGTAATTGTGTTATTTAACAAATAAAGAAGCCTAAGCCGTGTGTTAAAAAACACGACGGGCATTTGAAAACACGAGGGAAAAGTAGAAAACACGAGGGAAAAGTAGAAAACACGATGCGGCGAGTGTTTTCTACATTTCTCGAGTGTTTTAAAATGTCCGAAGTGTTTTATCATAGTGTAATACACGGCTTAGGCTACTTCACTTGCTTTATGATATAGAGGTAATGTGGCGAAAAACAATAAAACACGGTTTTGCTATGTTTCATACTCTGATATAGCATGGATTTTTAACCAATCAGAGCGCGTGAAGGCTTCTATCTATATTATAAACACTTATGAAGCTCAGTTCAGTGCTACTATTCTTGACATCCTTAATTTGTAATATTACAAAGCTGCCGATGTAATATAAATCCATTTTTACATGTAATTAGTCTTTCTTGTTAATCTACGTTTGCACATTATAATAAGTACTAGAAAATGCAATTATGGCATTCAAAACTTTTAAATGTTGACGAAACTAATGGACACAAAGAATTGGAAGTAGCTGTTGATTTTACTCAAACAAAGCTTGTACGCATGACACATATAGCAACAACAGCATCCAGCTGACCACTTGTTCGTGGTCTCCAGAGTTACACATGTCGTCTTCACAGCACTGGACAAAACAATCAACTGAATAACCTTGGTGCTTTTTATCCTCACACGTGGGGACCTGTGATCCATCTTTCTCGTAGGTAGTACATTCGTTTTCGTTCGCACAGGTTTTGAAGAAGATGTGATCTGTTTTGGAATTGTTTCCGAATGAGATCTGTCCTTTTATGCACATATCGTCTCCAAATTCATAATCTTTTTCTATTGTCTTGTCGAAACAGTTCTTCCATGAGGCGTGAGAAAAGCATTCGTAACACTGTTTTGGAGTGAAACCTGGAGATCAAGTAAACAAATCAGGAATCCGAAACTAACAACAACAAAACAAATAATTCGCAGGGGACACCAATTGTATACCTGCACAGACCTTGCACGCCGAGAAATTCGGCAGAATATAGCTTTCTCATTGAACAACTCTTGGATTTCTACCAGTCTCCCAATTTATTTACCCGTACTTGAATCGACCCCTGGGACCACAAG